GTCGGGGGGTATTGGAAAGAGGTGTGAGGGGAGGGGGTTGTCGGGATAGCAGTGAACAGCCGGCATGCAATACGTGAGAGGCCCCATGTCTGCATCACACGGGAAAGAGGAAGAAGAAGAAGAGGGGGGGGGCTGTGCATGCACGGCAGTTATGGGAACTGCAGTGTGTTGAAACACAGTGACTGCAACACTGCACAACCCACAATCAAGCACACTGACGCTCTCTTTTCCCCTTTTACACACAGTTACATGGACGAAACCCCGCCACAGACACACAGTCACGTGGGTTTAAAGCACCGCGGGCTGCACTCAGATGGACTTTACTCCGATGCGTCTGTGCAGATAATAAATACTGCACGACAACACTTCTCTGAGTCCTCACATGATCGCAGCCTTGATTAACCTTGAGCTTGCCAACCTGGGAATGAACGCTGCACTTGACACCTGCGGCACACTACACCTATGCGGGTATCTTTGGACTGGACAGACCACGTGCTTTGACAAATATTTACACCGTGACAGAGCCTGCCAAGAGTTTATCTGTCTTCTCTCGCAGTGTGTCACTCACACACACAATAGTGCATGCCTGACACACTCTTTAAAGTCTCTCTGAAGACATCAACATAGCTAACCAGATCAGATATGGCAGTCTGATTTCACAAGACAAGCTTTCACGGCTCTGCGAGGGCTATTTAACTCTGACAGTACAAAAACCAACAACTAGACGGAGGAAACAAAGCCACTAAATACACTAATGGTGGTGGTGACGAAGGGGTTAAGTGCAGCTCGTGAGTAGACAGCTGAACCTAAATCCCAGATACACAACAGCCCCCCCTCAATCCTCCCTCTTGTCCTCCTCCTTTGCCCCCACCCCTTCCTTTGCTGCCGTGCCGAGCAGGAACATGAAGCAGAGACAATATGAAGCCGGCGTTGAGCCCGAACAGCGGCGCCGCATACTTACGTGGTCTTAGACGTCCAGAGGGGGAAAGCAGACGTTAAGAGGAGCATGAGAGGCTCTTGCCGGCACAGCAGCCCACGATCAATCCGACCCCGATGGGTTGTATTCCTTTTTTATTTCTTGCAGTCTGCACCGGCAGAGCGAGCGCCGAAATACACATGCATGCATTCACACACAGCAAGCCTCTCACACACACACGCAACAAACCTCCCCCAAACACAGCTACACACACATTTCTAATTTATCTCGTGCCTCTTCTTATGGCCGACGCTTTCTGTTCTCTCCTTTTTCCTTTCTCATTATCTCTTGTCTGCTCCTCCCTTCCCTTTTTCAATATCCTCTTTCTTTCTCTCGGCTACACATGCAGTCGGCTTCTCTTCGCAGCCCCCACCTTCCCCCTCTCTCTCTCTCTCTCCATTCCCCTCCCTCTCGCGCAGCCTCTCCCTCCATCTCCTCTCTCTCTCTCTCTCTCCAGTGTGTGCAGAGCGAGAGGCCATTATCTGAGCCGCAGTGGGCACGTACGATGCAATGGGGGAGTGTGCAGTGAGCAGAAACAGAGAGCTGTG